TTCACTTTTCATCCTACTGAATTGTTCAGATATTTTATAGCTGAGCATGTGCTCCTTTTTTAAAAATTGAAAATGAATGAAGAGTTCGGGCACCTGGGTGGCTCAGTCGGTTAAGTGTCCAACTCCTGGTTTCGACTCAGGTCATGATGTCAGGATTGTGGGATCCAGCCGCTGTCAGGCTCCATGCTCAGTGGAGAGTCCGCTTGAGAGTCTCTCCCTCTGCCCCTCCCCACCCCACGCACTCGCACGCGCGTGCTCTCTCTCTCTCTAATAAACAAAATATTAAAAATAAATAAATAAACAGCAAGAGGGAGAAAGAAGGACTCTTACAGGTTGAAATGATCCCAAAGTAGACAAGCCTGGTCTACAGTCCCAGTAAAGCTCATCACATTTGGGGGCCAGTAACCTCTGAGGTAGGCCCGCCCACCCTTTCCCCCCAGCAGTGGCCAGTTTGCATGTATAATGCAGAGGTGGTAATGGTGAGCACAACAGTGGAAATGTTTTTAGAGAATCTTCCGCCCCATGTAGCCATTTCCACACTCTTCTATTCCGTTTTGGCCTTTAACCACATGCTTACAAATTGTTCCCTAATTGCAAACCATGATGTTCAGATTTCATACTTAATGCATATTCCTTTTCCTCTGTTGGTTTATTTTCTGGAGGCAAGTTCTTAGTCATGACTTTATTGGATTAAGGGTATGACTTTTTTTTTGGTTTTGCATATCTCTAAACATATTGCTTGCCCAAGGGTAGTCACGGTCGACTCTGCTGCCAGTGACCAGGTACGAACTTGCAACCCTCACCAGGGGCTTGCCTGGAGTAGTGCCGGAGTTGTTGCTAAACGGTGGTACATGAAATAGTGTCTCTGCGTTGTCTTTCGGTGTCCGTCGGTGGTGTTGGGCCTTTTGGCATGTTAGTTATATTGTCTATCCATTTCATATAATGTCCATATCTTTTGTCCTTGTGTCTAACACTGGAGTCTTTTAAGTATGGATTTTTATATATTGTAGATTTTTACCCTTTGTCATAGCTGCTACAGCTGCTGAAAACATCATTTGTATTTCTTTTGATGTTTATGTTATTTTTAATTGTATGGGAATTTGAAAACTATTTATCTGTTTCATAGTGATATTTTTATATTTTGTATTTTTTCCCTGTTGAGTCAAAAGTGAAGGAGATTTCCTGAAATGCTCTGTTATTTTGTGCATGCTTGCAACCTTAAATATTTGGATTTATTTTGGCTTATTAGTTAGCTCTCAGACTGCTAGCCAGCTCTCTCAACACTATGACGTGATTGTAACCTTCCCCTTTGTTTTGAGATGTACATGTTTTGACAAACACTTTGTCATGTAAATGCTTTCTTCTGTTTTAATAAGTTTGGGAACTGAGACAGTTTCAGGACTTGGAATTAAATTTTTCTGATCGTTGTTTTCTATGTGTTTCTATAAAATATGAAAGCTACAGAATAGCTTTTGGAGATCCTTCTCTGTTGCAATGATAATTAGCATTTGTGAAAAGTTTAGCTGTCTTTTAAGATATTTTGTTAAAACAAGATTCTTGGTGTGTGTGTGTGTTTTAAGATAGATGGTCTTGGTCAGATTTTTTTGTTTGCTTTTTAAAAGATTTTATTTTTAAGTAATTTCTACACCCAACATGGGGCTGGAACTTACAATGCTGAGATCAAGAGTTACCTGCTCTAACCACTGAGCCAGCAGGTGCCCTGGAACAGTGTTGGTTTTCGTTGAGTTATTTAGTTGATGGGGAGCAAAGTTCTGCCTTCCTCTGATGTGACTGGTGAACTGTCAGGGACCACAGTCACTTCGAAGTCGTTTTGGCTGAGTGTTGAGTCAGATCTGGGTTCTAGTTTCAGTACTGATGCACTTGTCCCCTTCTTGGGGTTCCGTGTCCGTGTGGATGACTCTCAGGTTGGCAGCTAAGGTGTACTCGTCAGTCCTTTTTCCTTCACTGATGCAGTGAAACCGCCCAGCCAGACCTTGGGAGCTCAGCGCTGGCTTTGTACTCCAGATGAGGGCCGAGAACCCCATGTTGGAGGGTGTGGTTTAGGCTGGGGTCCAAACCTTTCCATCACCTCCTTCCCTCGTTACCTCCTTTAATTTATACCCTGGGATGCACCCGTGTGGAGACAGGATCTCTCCGTGACATTGAGGTTCAGGATCTGCCTCTCTACCCTCCGGCCAGTGGGATAGAGAGCAGTGCAAGGGTGAGAGGCAGCTTTTCCTCCCTGCTCCACAGGTTCACGGTGGGGTAGGGGTGGGGAATGGGTGAGCTTGCCCCACCTCGTGGTTAGTTGAGTGCCTTATCTTCCCGTAGGGAGGAATAAACAAGGGGGTGGACAAAGACTGAACTGTTTCCCCTCCACAGTTTCCTCATTCATGAGTTGGATGGGGAAATGCTGTCACTGGACAGCCCCACCCCGAGGCCACAGAGGGTTATCTTGCTTGGTTCAACAGAAATGGTGTGATGCCTGGTGTGAATGCTCTGGGTTGTGCATGGCAGGTGTGTAGGAGACACATAGGAGTGTGGTACACTGCCTCGTGGTTGCTTAGGGTGCTTCTGGTCCTTCCCCGGTGTGGACCTGGCTAGTGTAATTCCAGATGTCTGAGTTTCTAGGAAGTGAGGGCTGGGAGGGTATGTCCTGGGTGTGGAGATTCTCTGGGTGTGGATTTGGACCCTGATGTCTGTGAAAGCAGTCTTACTTGAGTGGCTTTGTGTCTGTGGAGTGAGGCCTTCTGGGCCACATGAAAGGGGGTGAAACCTATGGTGAGGGTGGCCAGGAGCCCTGTGGAGAATTCCCCCCTCCAGAGCCTGCAAGCCCATGGGGTTCCTGTGACCTTTCTCTGTTCTCCACGGTTAATTGGCCAGAGCTGAAGAACAGGGATCTCCAGGTTGAGAGTCCCTGTATCACCTCAGGGTAATCATTTCCCAAAGGCTCCAAGCAGGGGGCAGGGATGAGGTCTCCAGTACTGAGGAAAACGGATAGACTTGTGCTATCAGGTTTCTCTGGAGGAAGAAGGGAGTCTGACTTTGCTTCATAGCTTTTAAGAGAAAGCTTTACCATGGTTAAATGATGCCCAGGGAGTACTCTCTGGGATTCCTGAACTTTGGGGTACCGTGCCTGGGCAGCCTTCCCCAGTCTGTGGAATCCAGTTCCATGGGAAGGGTATGGCCATCCTTCCAGGCTTCTCTAAGAGCCATGAAGAGGAGGCTGTGTTTGACGATTCCAAGAAGTAGGATTGTCTTGTCCGTAAAAAGGAACAGGGTTTCTACCATTTAGAACATTTTCCTGACTTCTAGGCCATTTCTGGCCAAGTTGACAGTTCTCTGTCATAAACTTACCTGAGTTTTAAGTTAAAAAATGTTTTTTCTCTATATGCATGAAGCCAGTCACCTGTAGTTAGAGAAAAACCCAGTGCTTTGGGGGTTTTGTCTTGTGTGAAACACAAATGAGTGAATGTTGGTTCCCTTTAGTTAGTTGCCTACCGCCAGGCATCCCGACCCTAGCCCTGGTCTGTGTGCTGGGCTGTGGCTAGCACAGTCCTTCTACCTTTGCAGGTGGCCCTTGGTGCCCGGGCTGCTACCTGGGACGTTAGGCTTGTCAGAATCACCAGGGAATTTATCAAACATGCCAATTCTCTGTCTCAACCTGCACCTACTTCTCAGGACCTGCAGAGGGTAGAGCCCTCAGATCTGTATTTGGAAGGAGTCATGTGATGCTGCCAGCAGGGTCCCTTAGCACTAGGGACACTAGGGATCAGTTTGTTGAGGATGCTGAGGCCTTGAGAGGGCAGGAACTTGCCCAGGGGCCTCTTGTGTGTCCTGTGTCCATGGTGTCCCTTGGTGCCTGGGATTGCATTCGTACTCCCTTCTTGAAGGGGACTTTTGTGGAAGTCCTGTGCTGAGGACGGGGCGGGGGCTGCTGGGTCACTGTCACCTTCCTGGCTGGTTTTGGAGGCCGGATGGGCCAGACTCTCCCATCACCCTCTGAGGGAGGAGGTGAGCAAATGGTGGGTCCAGGCTGCTGCGCAGGGCAGCACAGGCACCTCCTGTGGCCAGGAGGGTGAGCGGTCACAGCACCCATTCCAGAAGTGTGTGGTTTGCTCGTCCCTGCTTGGCATCACTTGCTCAGAACATTACAAGCCCGTGGCCAGTCCACCGAGGCCACTCCCAGGAAGGGATTTTGCAGCAGCCCTTTCTCGACAAGGTGGCAGCTGCTGGTTTCTTCCTGGCAGTTGTGGGTGGGTTGTGTCTTCAAGGCCTGAGTAGCCTTTTCTGTTTTGGCCTCCCCCCACCGCACCCCCCACCGCCCGCTCAGCCCCAGAAAGTGGGAGGAGAACAGGGGGCTGGGGTGAGTATTCCCCTGGGAGCTCTAGGTCCTGCCTGCTCCCCAGGGATCAGCCCATCCCCTTCCCCACCACCGAGCCACTGTTTCGGCAGCAGGGGGTGGTGGAGGATAAGGGCCCACCTGGATTGCTGTTGGGTTCCAGAAGGAAAGTAGTAGGGGCACCTGGGTGGCTCAGTCGGTTGAGCACCTGCCTTCGGCTCAGGTCATGAAGAGGAGGCTGTGAGGGTCAGGTCATGATCCTGGGGTCCTGGGATCAAGCCCCACATCGGGACTCCCTGCTCCGTGGGGAGCCTGCTTCTCCCTCTCTCTGCCTGTTGCTTCCTCTGCTTGTGTTCTCTCTCTCTCAAATAAATAAAATCTTTAAAAAAATAAATAAAAGTTGGCATCCTCCATTCTTTAAAAAAAATTCTCTTCTTCTTTTGGCTGTTTTTAGAAAGTTGACTTAGCGTGATTCTTGCCCAGTCTGTAGCTGCCACTGATAGTAAAGTGATGCCTGGACTCGTGCAGGAACACGGGAACAATTTGGAGACTTCTAGAGTCTGTGTGTGAGCCTCACCTTGGCTCTTCCTGGGGGAGGAGTTTTGGGGGGTGTTTTGCAGCCGCATGTGTCGTCTCACCACCCCCTGTCTGCCCACAGGTCCCGCTTCTCGGAAGATGCACTATTATAGATACTCTAACGCCGAGGTCAGCTGCTGGTACAAGTACCTGCTCTTCAGCTACAACATCGTCTTCTGGGTGAGTCCCCGAGAGCAACCTTGGTCCCCTGCCTTGTCCTTTATTCAGTGGATCGCGTTCTTCATGCACTGCCGATTGGCCAGGCCCGCTGCGAGGCTCTGGGGGAGAAGGCGGGCAGGGCGAAGAGCCCCTGCCTAGGCAGAACCAGTGACAAGTTAATGCTATACAACAGGCTGCTAAGTACTGTGACGGGGATAGCCGGGATGATCAGAAAGCAGGCTAATGGACCCCTACCCCAGCCTTGGAGGCTCAGGAACACTTGGAGCTCTGGCCCACATGCAGGTCAGCTTTCTGCCTTCCCTGCCCTGGGGATGCTCCCAACGAGACCTTGGCAGCGGGGCGCTTTGTGCCCCTTTGACTATGGGCCAAGCGCTGTTCTGCGCTTTGGGAGGTAAGAGTGTGCAAGGGCAATAAAGCCCTGTTCCTTACGGTGCTTGTGTTTAACCAGTAATGACATTAACCTCCTGAGCAACAGAGCAGGGAGGGAGAAGCTCCTTGGCTAGGGAGGTCAAGGAAGGGCACTCCAAGGAGGTGACTTAAGGGCTGAGACCAGTGTACCCGTGAAGAGACAGCCAGTAGGGGTCTGGGAAGAAAGCTGCAGGCAGGAAGAGCAGCATCTGCAAAGGCCCTGAGGCAGAAATGCACTTGGCATGTGCAGGGGACAAAGAGAAGACCATGTCACTGGAGCTCAGTGAGTACAGGGGGAGGGGACACAAGTGAGGACAGAGACATGAAGGAAACAGGTCATGTAGGACCTTACAATGCTCAGTAAGTAGGTGGAATTATTTTCTACTTCTTTTAGTAATTCTTGGTAGGTTACGAGTTTTGGAATGATTCCGCAAAGTGAAGGGATGGGTGGTGGTACCATGTTCTGAGAATTTGGGGACAGAATTGTTAGAATGGTCTCTTGGCCACATGAACATGTCCATCTCCCATGTCTGTGACCATCCTAGAGATGAAAGTCTTGGCCACATCAGAGAAGGTTGTGGGGGGGGCGGCTAGATGAGATCATGGAGGGGGAATGTGTTGACTGAGAAGAGGAGAGGTGTGAATATGGAGTCCTGGGTTGCTAGGGGTGAAGCAACCTCTTCCTTGAAGGGGAAAGTCTGCTCCAGAGTTGGCTGTGAGTAAGCGGGCTGAGGGGAGGCCAGGAGACTCTGTATTGCAGAAGCCTTCCAGGTAGAGAGGAACAGTTAGCTGTGCACAGGGAAGTAATGTAGGATGAGGACAGAAAATTGGCATTGGCTTTGAAGAGGTAGAGGTTGTTGGTGACCCTGGTCAGAGCCGCTGTGTGTCCTGGTTGGAGGGATGGAAACCCACCTGGGGTTGGCTGGGGGGCCAGCGGGATGTGAGGCAGTGGAGACTGTGACTCAGGACGGTTCTTTCAAGGACTCTTGCCTTAAAGAAGATCAGAGAACTTGGGCACTGGCTGGAGATGGTCAGGGCATCAAGGGAGGTAGCACAGGGAGGTAGCACAGCATGTGTGTGTCACCAGTGGGCTCGGTCCAGGGAGAAGCAGATGCTGAGTCTGTGCGGGTGGGTGAGGGGACGCGATTGTGCACCTGCAGCAAGCATCACTGGTCAGCTTCAGGGTGTGGGTGGGGGCGCACAGAGAAGGAGGGACAGAATGACCGTCCGTCACGCCACATTTTGCTTCTACTGAGGGTGTTGGCATGCCCTGTTTGGACTGGAACTCTTGCAAACAGGGCAGATCACTAAGACTTCTCAGCTTTTACCCTTCATTTCCTATAGCATCATCAACTCCTGATGATTTACCTCAAAGTTTTAGAGGGTTTCTGTTCTGGAGAAACAGGGTGGGTTTCAGTGGCTTGGCCACTCACCCCACATCTTTTTCTTTGCTTGGACAACCTGTCACCAGCAACTTCATCATTTCTCTTGAAATAAGGCAATATAGGACAGTCGATGTGGTTCCTGTGGGATTTTCCTAATAAGAGGCCTTTGGCTGCCTCATTCGTGCGGTGTATGGCTTCCTGGACCTGCCCTGCTCCCTCCCTGGCCCCACCTGGAGGCCCTGCCCACCAGCCCAGTGTATGGCAGAGGGCCCCCTGGCCTTGGCAGTCAGTCTGACACTTTGGACAGTTGGACACCCAGATGACATGTTGTTCTCTCCCACCCCCAGGCGCTGCTTACTTGGTCTTGTGCCTGTCCTCTGAAGGTCATCCTGAATTTTGCAGTGAGAGCAAAACTTCTTACTGCTGTGGCTGAGGGCCCGCTAATCTCCATTTCTTCACATTCTTTTCAGAACAGATTCTTTGCTCTTGGGAAGCTTTTCAACTTGCCCAGTAGTAACAACTCTGCAGCACCAGATTCTAATACTGGAGCTCCTGGGTCCGGAATCGTAGCAAGTTTGCTTGAGCGAAGGGTGCTGCCGTGTTACTGCATTCTGCAGGATTGACAAGTGTGTGGTCAAGAGTCTGTTTCTCAGTTGGTGTGCCCGGGGGCCAAGCAGGAAGGGACAAAAGGAGCAGTCAGGGAAATGAGGCACAAGAGAGCTTGGGGGGAGAATGACCCAGATGCCTCCCTTCTGGGTCCTTGGCACTGATTGCTCTCTTCTTCTGCACTGGAGCTCAAGTGTGTGGTGAGGCCTGAGAAGCGGGGTGCAGGGCCCTCTGGGAGACACAGGGTAGGTGCAGTGGGAGGCCCGCACCCAGGTGCGGGGCTGGACTTGCACGCACACTGAGTGGTCCTGAGGAGGCTTCGTGTTTTGGTGAAATGCTGATGTCACAGGCCTGCCTCCTGCTTCCCAGGGTCGCTGGAAACATACAGTCATATGCCAAGCCTTACTTCGTCTGAGAAGTTTTCTCTTTGAAATGGAAGAAATAACCAAAATCAAACGATCTAACAGCCCCCCCCCCACCATGTTCCCATCACCTTGCTTCAACATCGATCAACTCCTAGCTGATCTGGTTTAATTTATATTCCCTCCCCACACCCCATTCCGCCCGTAATTTTGAAGTAAAGCATAGATAATCATTTTGCACAGAGAGTTTTTGTGTTTGTTTTGTTTTGACGAAGGAATAATGAACAGAGGGATGGGATTGCAGCTTTGCGGGCAGACCTGGGCTCAGCAGGCAGGTTCAGATACACGGACGGCAACCTGTCATTTCTCTGACCCATGCTGGGAGCCAGAACAAACAAGGCTGTATTGAGCACTTTGCCCCATTCAGAATTATTTGCACACTGACATACTTCATAGCCAATACCTGCACACTCTACCAGGGTTTTTAAAGCTCTCTCCCTCGGTTCATGGTTGAGATTTTCCCAAGGGACTGTTAAATACTCTCTTGAGAGGACAAATGGGGATGCAGTCGGTGTCTCTATATGGGGTAAGCAGGGAGCTGGGCTTCATAGGTTCATCGGGGAAACAATGCTTCTAGATGACGGAGTGTTGTGAGGGCACTAGCACTTTCTACTTAAAAAAATGTATTTATCGATGTATGTATGTTTGTATGTATGTAGGTTTCATGCCCAACATGGGGTTTGAACTCATGATCAAGAGCTGTGTGCTCCACTAACTGAGCCAGCCAGGTGCCCCTCTGCCTTTTTTTTTTTAAATCATAGTCATTCTTTGGTTTATTAGTCAGCCCTGTTTCAAGTGCAGAATGTCATTTTGTCTTAAGAAAATGTAAACCAAGGGGTGCCTGGGTGGCTTAGTCGGTTGAGCATCTGCCGTTGGCTCAGTTCATGGTCCCCAGGTCTTGGGATCCAGCCCGGGGTCTGCTTTTCCCTCTCCGTCTGCCCCTCCTCCCCGCTTGTGCTCTCTCTCTCTTTCTCTCTCTGTCTCTCTCCCTCAAATAAATAAATTAATTAATTAAAAAAAAGAAAATGCAGATCAAAACGGCAAGAAGATACCATTTTGCTCCCATCGGGATGGCTATTATTAAACACACAAGCAAACACACGACGCCCACCAAAATAACAGATGTTGACAAGGATGTGGAGAAATTGGAATCCCCGGGCACTGTTGGTGAGAATGTAAAATGGTGCAGCCACTCTGGAAAACAGTATGGAGGTTCCTCAGAATGTCAAAAAACAGAATTACCATATGATCCAGCAATTCCACTGTGGGCATAGACCCAGAAGAATGAAGAAGCAGGGTCTCAGAGAGATGTCTGCTTACCTGTGTTCACAACAGCATTATTCACGACAGCCAAGAGACAGAAACGGCTCAGGTGTCTACCGACAGATGAATAGAGAGACAGAACACGCTCTGTGCGTGCAGCGGGATCTTTCTCCGCCTCAAAAAGGAAGGAAATTGTGACATACATGCTACAGCACGGGTGAGCTCTGAGGATTTCATGGCAAGTGAAATAAGCCCGTCACAGAAGGACAGATCCTGTGTGGCCCCACTTAGAGGTAGTCCCGAGAGTAGTCCGGTTCCCAGAGATGGACAGGAGAGGGGGGTTGCCAGGGGTGGGGGGAGGGGAGAAGGGGAAGTCAGTGTTGAGGGGGTACAGAGTTCCGGTTTTGGTGGCACTGTTGCTCAACACTGTGGCCATGCCGAGTGCCACTGAGCCGGCCTCGATCACATGGTTCAGATGGCTTGTTCCCTACCATCTCTGCTTTCCCACGATTCAGATTAGAAAGCCGTCTCCTCCGACTGGCAGAGGACTGGCCGCTGGGAGAGGGATACCCTAGAGGAAGGGCTGTGGGGGATCCTGTTTTTTGTTCTCACCCCACCTGGTGCCACCAAGAATTCGAGCCTAGTGAATCCCCTGGAGGGGACGATTCAGAGGATGTCTGTGACCGCAGGATCGCTTCCCACCGCCAGCTTTGAGTTTGACCTGCAAAGGTTCAGATGAAGCCCTTGCCTGGATCTATTTCAGAGGTGGATGAACGGAGAAGAACTGAGGCCCCTTGTGGCACAGACAATGAGCCTGTGTTCTGCGGACCGGAGAGCCCCCTGCCCCTGGCCTTCTCGAGACGCAGGCAGGTCTGAGCCGAGCCGCTGTTTTGCTGTTCAGGGAGTGCGGGAATTA